TTGAACTAATCATGTCATTTATTTAAATATCTGTATGTCAAACCAAACTTTTACACGGATGATGAACGCTGGTGTCTTTTCCATTTTTCCTGTAGCGCTTTAAAACTGATTTAAAGACGGCATTGCTTGACTTGAAGTCTTGAAGCCCATATGATGTTGTATTTTGTAATGTGACGGTTTATACCTGCTCTGAGACACATCAAACTTGCAACACTGTTTTCGCGTCCAGCGGTAGACTGAACAGAGGCATAAAACTCCCGCAATGTCTCATTTAAAAGAGACGCAGAGTAGGTCTCGAAATCACAATTGTTCTGTCTTTGACGCAAAAAGTCACTGAAAGTGTTAACTGCCCATTTAGTTGTCTTTTTCGTATTGACCTCATCTTTGTCGTCTTCGATCTTATCTAGCTCTGTCTTTTCCCTCAAAAAAAGCCTAAAACTTAAGTAGCCTAATATACAGTATTTCGTTGTCATCCTGCCTCTCCAAATGCAAAACTGACATTAACAAACTGCAATGATGCAGTAACAGCTGAAAAAGTACTTGGGTGTGTGTTTTATTTTATATTTACCGGTCAGTAATGCTATCGCTGCTGTCTATCCCATAGAAGAACATGACAGCCAGGGTATGTTTTGGAACTATTGGGGCTTACATGAACCACGTGACAGCCGTCGCGGCGACATCAAAGAGCGTCGCAACTCTTTCTCTCTATGGCTCTGAGCCTACCTAAATAAACGTTTTCATATGTGTCTCTCTCTCACTCTTTTGCAAGTGTAACTCTGTTACTATGGTTACCAATGTTTATAGTAGCGGATTAATTTCGAACTGTAATCAAACTGACTGGAACTACCTGTGCATTAAACGGTTTTACTGCACACCTTCCAGCCAATCAGAATCGAATATTTAAACAGCCCGTGGTATAAAGCTAATTATTATTTTTTTATTTATTTAATGACCACACAGCCAGGCTGGTGGAATTTGTTTTCAGTACAGCTCTTTGGTACAGGTTCCAGCATTACATTAAACAGTAAACATTAAACATATAAAGTAACATACATATACACACAGACAAACACATTAATACATAATACATAAGGGGTCATGCTTAATCCACAGTCCTCAGCGTTCAGAGTTCAAAAGGTGTATTGCTTTTGGAATGAAACTATTTTTGAAGCGAGTTGTTCTAGAGGCGATTGTCCTATAACGCCTCCCAGAGGGCAGTAACTGGAAGGCGTAGTGAGCAGGGTGCGAGGTATTAGAAATTATCTTGTGGGCTCTGCGTAGTGTCCGTTTGTGGTAGAGTGATTCAAGGGATGGTAGGGGTGAACCAATGCCTTTCGATGCTCTGTTGATGATACGCTGTAGTTTCTTCCGGGAAAGTGAGTCAAGACTGCCAAACCAGACTGTGATGGAAGTGGTGAGGATGCTTTCAACGATGGCCATGTAGAAGCGGAGCAGAAAATGAGACCTTACTCTGAACTTCTTGAGCTGTCGGAGATGAAAAAGTCTTTGCTGGGCTTTTTTGTAGATATGATCTGTGTTGATTTTCCATTTAAGGTTATTGCTGATGTGTGTCCCAAGAAGTAATTAAACCATGGATATCCCGCCTATACATGTTCTCCGGCTGGAGCAGGGGGATCACTCTCTCAAGGATCACACAAAGGATTTTCTTGACCAGTCGCGCATAACCCATTATACAAACTCTTGCTATGTGTTTTCTACTACACCGGGCTTAGCAAGCGGTCGAATGCACGTCTGACTGTGGAGGTCCTCGAGGGATCTTCGTCTAATATATGGAGTGGGTGCTGGTTCAGTGTGGATCTCCGTTCATTGTCTGCCCTGTTGAAGAGTACAATGCCAGCCAATGACCTGGATAGGTCCCGTTCCAAATCGTCTTAGTCATCTCTGTATAAGTCCAGTTCCAAGTCGACTGAGTTATCGCTGGTTAAGCCCAGCTCCAAGTTGTCTAAGTCATCACTGGTTAAGTTATGATCCAAGTCGTCACTGGTTAAGCCCAGCTCCAAGTCATTGCTGGTTAGGCCCATCTCCAAGTTGTCGTTGGTTAGGCCCAGCTGCAAGTCGTCTTCATCGTCCAGCACCAAGTCTCCTTCTTCGCCATTGCCAAGCCCAGCCTTCCTCTCCCTCCTCTTCTGCCAAAGCCATCCAGTTCCTCATTCTCGTATCCATTGTCTCCCTTCAGCCCCTCGGCTCCTCTAGTGGTTCTGCCCTGCTGTACAGATCTGCCTAGGGCTTCCCAGTCATCAGCTCTGCCTTGGCCTGTGGATCCCTCAGCTCCACCTCAAGCATCCAAGCCCTGGACTCCACCTCGGCCCTCTGAATCATCGGCTCCGCCTCGGCTCAATAGTCCCACGGCTGCACCATGGACTGTCATCCCTTAGACTCGGGCGGGCTCCCTTGTCCCTCTGGCTCCACCTTGGTCCGTTGTCGCTCTGGCTCTGCCTCGGACTTCCGAGTCAGCAGCTGTGCCTTGACCTTCCACCCCACCGTCTCTGCCCTGGTCTGCCAAGCTCACGCCTCTACCTCCGTCACGCCCGCCTGCAGCTCCACCATGGTCATCCAGGCCTACAGCTTCGCCCTGGCTCTTTGGCTTTTCGGTTCCGCCTGAGACTCCACCTCCAACGGCTACACCTCAGTCGGTCATCTGCTCTGGTTCCTTCGCCCTGGCTCCTCCCACCTTAATCTCTTCCCTGGTCATCATCTTCTTCCTCTGCCTGCTCCTCATCCTCCTCCAGAGCCCACTCCCTCTCTCCTCAACTTGGACTATGATTTGAGTAACGTACTACTTACCTGTTGGTTCCATTTCCATTGACTGAGGACAGTTGTGGCCTAATGGTTAGAGAGTCAGACTGGTAACACAAAGGTTGTGGGTTCAATTCTCAATACTGGCAAGAAATGACTGAGGTGCCCTTAAGCAAGGCACCTAACCCCCTATCGCTCCCCAGGGTTAGGTGCCAATGTTTAATGGGTTAAATGCAGAGGACAAATTCCAAGTATGGGTTTCCGTACTTGGTCTTATCATTCATTCTCCTACATCACACAACTCTTTGGTGGATTTAATACATGCAACCCCTGAAAGTTACAGGAAATTCTCTTCTTATTATTATACTGAAAAAGTAGACCATCTATTCATAATTAGACCTGATCATTGCAACGTACTTTTGGGTGCATTCCAATCATCTTTCCACTGTTTACTGGTACAGTTTCATAGCATTTTTTCTTACATGTAAATCCTGTAATGATCTAGCCCATCAACTTCTCTACTATCCCTCCCCCTGCCCCAGAGGATGACAAGAGGGAAAAGAGTTTATTTGTTTAAATTCTTCTTTTTGTCATCTTTGGCTCGCTTACTGGGGACTGTAAGGCACTATTCTTTATAAAGCTGTTTTGAAATGATTTTTATTGTGACAAGTGCTAAAACTATATGTAAGAAGAATTAAATTAAATTCCTTCAAACATCTCATGAACCAATTCACTCTGAAGAATCTATCATTTAACATTAAGACATTTCTCCAAATAACCTATAGACACTAAGGAACCCTAAACAGAGAAAACGTTTTTTTTAATAAAAATGGAAAAAATTACATTTGACAACCCATTATTTTAAGTGCTGCAGTACTCAATGACAGCATTCAGAGGATAAAGACGTTCTGAAAGTCATGCCTAAAAGGTCAAATGGATCATTGCTCAACTGTGGTGATCCAATATGCAGTTTGCAAGTGCTAAACATGGCAAGCAGAGCAGTACTGATGCTCTACCTCCATCATCTGGCAATAAAGAGTTTCTTGTTTATGTCCACATCTGCTGGTGATGAAGACTTATTTACACCTGGCTAAAAAACAGCTTAGATCAGTATAGACAGGCTTCAATTCAAAGACGTTCTTAACTGGTTTTAGATGAGCAATGCTATCCTGTGATGATGATAATAATTATAATAATAACATTAATAATATTGCTTTACAAACAACATTCATATGTCAAGAGTTATTTTTTAGATCTATTCAGTTAGATTAATACTGCATAAAGTTGCACTTAATGGGGGAATTACAGAACAATCCGTTCAGGTCGTATATTTCATATCGTATGCAGGGCCGTCGCTAAAAGGCTAAAAGGTGGTGACGATTCTAGGAGCCTCCTGAAAGCCGTGGGCCCATGGTAGCAAAAAACAATCTTAATACAATTTTTTACTTTCCTTCCAGAATTTCTTTTTGTTCATAAAATGTACAATGTTGCTCACAGTAACATGCCACTTCACCATGTGTGCTCAAAAAAGTTATGCGAGTGTATGATATTGATGGCATCATCATAGCTCTTTTCTGACTTACAGTAAAACTGCTCCAGCATGTTACAACACTCCCCGATCTCCCATGTATATGTAGGCCAATGTTTGTATTTATGTATGTATGTATGTATGTATTTGTCTGTTTTATTAAGGAATTAAAAACAAAATCTGTTTTATTTTTAAAAATTACGTTTTGTTTTTTTATATTATTTTTTAATTATTTTTTTTATATATAGCTTATCTTTTAGCAAAAATCGATTGAATTGAATTTTAATAGGCCTACTACTACTAGCCTACTACTATACTACTACTACTACTACTACTAGGCTACTACTACTACTACTAATAGTAGTCTACTACTACTACTAGTAGTCTACTACTACTAATAATAATAATAATAACAAAAAATTATAAGAATTTTTAGCAAAGGTTTTTTTTTTTTTTTTTTTTTTTAAGCAACAAACCAGAGAAGAAAAGCATGTATATTCTGACAGTTACTAGTACGACTAGCGGGTCTCTTATTTATCTTCTTTTTATTTTTATTTTTTACAATGAGAATTGCTGAGGACAAAGCGATTATTTTTTGATCGAGACAAAAATTTCGATGGTCCTGCATTCCTTAAAAAAAAAAAAAAAAAATTATAATTTTTTTTTTTGTTGACGTATCGACAGGCTTTATAAAATTCACCCGAATATCCTTTATGGAGACAGCGGCAACACAGCTGTTGTCTGACGAATCCGGAGCGCTTTCATCAGCAGTCTCCAGTGTCGGCATTGGCTCTCCATCATCCCGACTCCAAACGAGCAGCAGCAGAGGACAGACATGTCTGTCTAGAGCTCCAACACCATTTGTATCGTCTTATTATGTCGGGTTTAGGATGATATGGGTTCGGTGCAAAATGTGACAGTTGTCCGCGGGCATCATGAGGATATTAACAGCATCCGGGCTCTTCCTGGCCTTCTGTTCCATCTGGCTCTTGACCATGGCCATCAGCACAGACTACTGGTACGAAACAGATGCGCGGAAACACCGGGACCGATGCAAAAAATATGCCAGCAAGAGAAATGACCCAGGATACATATATATTTCCAACCAAAACCTCCCTCTCCGGATGCGACCGGAAGCGGCTCCTCTGCGGGGATCCCTGCACCCTGCGCCCGCCATGGAGTCGCGCTGCAGCCGCCGCTACAACTCGACCACAACCGGGCTGTGGAGGAAATGCCATCGAGAAGGCTTCGACCTGGAGAACGAGGATCTGATTTTTAAAGGTGATGATGCTGATCAGGCCCTGTGTGAACAGTAACCAGATTCCGCGTTGATTTTGAACAGTTCTAGTGTGTTTGTTGAGCTTATGTGAAGGAGTGTTGAAGAATGTTTGGCGCTATCCAGGGTGCTGATCTCTCACATCAACACTAGACACACGCTCATGTTCACACATTCATCACATTTCTACTAAAAAACAGAAACAGATGGAGTCTGTCAGGGCAGTGCATGGGATCCATTTGACATAAACACGTGTTCTTTTTTAGGTCTGAGAGACCCCAGGGCCATTTTAATAAAGGAAAACACTCTCAACTACCTCTGGAATATGTTACGTTCGTTTCCCCTTTGAGTTTCCTTTTGATAGCTCCAATAACAAAAGCAGTATTCTAATTCTACTTAATCTGAAAAGAATGTATTATTTAATGCATTAATGCATTTGCAAGCTTCTTAATGTGATAAATGATAAAGTCTTTCAGGGCAATGAGATGCAGATGCCTTAGCAGGACATGAGAGTAAATTGACTGATGTTGTTTGAGGTCCAGTTTGAATGTTTATTGATCATAATCCAAATAAAGGATTTGGCACCAAAGTTAAGTTCCTGTAAATGTCTTACACACAAATGTCTTACTACTTGTGACTGTTCCAATGTTCAAACACACGTGCACCACATCTGTGTTAACGTGATCCTCACAGTTATTACTGAAGTTTCTGTGAATTTCTGCAGGTTTGCTTCAACGCTGCACGCCGGTGAAGTATTACTATTCCTCAGCGAATATCCCACGAAATCTGCCAGTGAACATCACCAAGACTATCAGACAAGACGAATGGCACGCTCTCCGTAAGTCAGATTGTGCTCTTGATCACACTCTTAACATGTAATAAGTGTATTATGAGCTACTTTGTATTAAAGCATCAGTAAAACTGAACTACACATCTGCAATGCACATCTTTATTGAATCACTGATCTGATCTGCTTTCAACTATCAATTGCTTGGTTTCACACATTTGACCTCGTTTAAATCCATCTCTCAAAATCAGAGTTTCTCTCTGGGTCTGTGCGTAGACTTGACTTTGAGAGACGTTTCTCTGGCCTTCCAGAACAGATATAATGTTAGAATCTTCAAATGCTTCCAAAAACACTTATTTTGCATATTATGTAATGAGAATACAACATCTATAACCCGACTGACATAATATGTGACAGATTGTTCATGATGTATTTATTTAATATACTGTATATATGTATGATGTACTTAAACAATCATCTATATATACCACAATAAATACACTAAACTAGTTTTTACAGTAACACCAACTAGATTACAACTTTGATGGTCAGAAAGTTGAAATCAGTTTTAAAAGTTTGAAGTCTGAAGGTATAAGTAGTTTGAAGTGTTTTAAAGCCATGTAGTCAATCATTTATTTATATGGCACTTTATACAAAAGCTTTAGCAGCATCACAGTAATAAACTGACAGATGTTCAAATTTGTAAAAGGTATTTGAACCACTTGTAGTTTTTAGTGGAACCTCTTAGTTAATGTTATATAATACTGAAACAATTAAAGACAAGGCCTTAAAATTGAAGCATTCAGCAAAACTCTGCTCTGCATAAACAACCAGAACAAGTTGGGACATTTTGTAAAATGCAATAAAATCAAGAATCTGTGATTTGTTCATTCTCTTGAACCTTTATTTAACTGACTAATATACAAGTAAAAGATTTTCACTGACCCACTTAAGTGTATTTCTGTAAATATAAACATATTTTGATGGCTGCAAAACACAGCAAAAAAAAAAAACTAAAAGTGAAAAGCTTATAAAATATTTAAGTTAAACTCTTTTGAAACAGTCCACAATACGTTGGTTAATCGGTAATAAGTGATTGAGTGTAAAAAGAGCATCTTTAGAGCAGCTTTTCTCTTTTGTTTTGCTTCTGTCAAAACTTTTTTTTTGCAGTGTGTTGCAGCCAACAAAAGAGCATCTGTCTTTGACTCGCCACTTTATGCCAAATATCATGAGAGAATTGCCAAACAGTTCAAAAATCACATTTCTAAATGCTACTGTGTTAAATACAGCCACGTGTGCTCAGGAGTACTTTGGAAAACCGTTGTTACTGACACAGTCCGCCGCTGCATCTAGAGATGAGTCTCTGTTACACAAGGAGAAGGTTAGGGCGAGTTCTCTGGGCCCGAGCTCATCTCAGATGATCCAAAACACAGTGAAAATATGTGCCACGGTCAGAGGATTTCACATTTCTGCTTGTTTTGGGGAAAAACAGACAGAGTCCTCAGTCCCAAAGACGACATGCCTCTGTCCCAACTTTTGTGGAGTGTGTTGGAGACATCAAAATCAAAACTGGTTAAAATACAATTAGGTTGTTCAGTGAAAACTTTCAAATCTTTTCTTTGTAAGAGAATTAACATTCTTGATTTGATTGTATTTTACAAAATGTCCCAACTTTTATGGATTTGGGGATATATATGCTTTTTGCATTGTCATCATGTTACAGTCTACTGAATGTATGTACCCTTGTGAAAAAGTACACTTTAGAATTTATTTATTTATTTATATACAGACTACGTAATATGTAAATAATGCACTTTCAAATAATATACATAGGTGTGAACTGAATGTTTTTAGACACTTAATTGCATGTTAATTGCAACTAAATAAAAATGTACTGTAGTTTAAATTTACATTAAATACATTTTTGACCCACTTAAATAGGACATCTTTATTTGTTGTCTTTGAAATATGGTTAAAGTGTACTGTTGAATGTACCGACTAGCAGTTATGTTAAACTAAAATAACCTTTAATGTAATTTCTATTAAAACATCATGTATTAAAGATATTTGTAATAAACCAAACCCTGATCCTATTCCTAATAGTAAGTAAATGTTGGTAATTATCATTAATCAGGGCTTAAATGTACAATTACACTGTAACAAGAACAACTTAAAATAAAGTTTAACCCACGTTACTTTAGGTTTCCTTGTTACAGTTTAACTATACATTTAAGCACTGATTAATGATAATGAAGTGTTACCTGAAGTTGTAAGTACATTTAAATATATATTAACTTTCAACACGCACTACAGATTATAATATTGCACTTTACACGTGCTGTATTATGTAAGCCAACACATCAAAATAAGTGTACAACAAACGATTATAAAGCCTTAATGATTTATGTATATTTATGTACACAAACTGTCCTTAAGTTTTGTAAGAAATGCCATGAAAGTGGTCTTAAGTGACATTTTATTTGATTGATATGATATAATCTGTGAGTGAACATATACTTCTATACACGATTTGAAGTAGCCTACTGTAAACGTTCACATTCAATACAATTAAGCATACTTGTTTTTCCCTATGGCTCCTTAACCTCTCTGTTTTCCGTGCAGATTTGCAGCGGATGACTGCAGGTTTTATCGGCATGGCTGTGTCCATCATTGTGTTCGGCTGGACGGTTGGATTGCTGGGCTGCTGGAAGCACAACGAGCTGATGCAGTATGTGGCGGGACTGCTCTTCCTGATGGGAGGTGAGACTCACTCAGGTCTTGTGTAACACTACCAACAACCACTAGGTGGCAGCATGTTACTGCGAGAAGAAGAAATGGCAGGTTTGGAAAGGCATATCACTCCTAGTAGAAGTGTCGTATGTGCACTGTGCACAGTATGCAGTGTTTCTGTATGCACAGCATATTGAATTCCACAATGCAAAGTGCTCAACTGGACTTGTTCATTTCCATTGTGTTGAATTAATTCTTTACCCGCCAGCGTTTTATTTTTAAGTTGCCAGCCAGCAATATTTTTGATTATATTCACAAAACTGTCATGGCCTCCAGAGTATTTTGTTGTATGAATATGTAAACAGTGAATGTATCAGACGAAAGAACAGAGCATCTGCATTGAAACAAACAAACGAACAAAAATAAAATGTTCTATCTTTTATTTCAAGCGGTGTTTTATTAACAAAGTTCGGAAGGAAAAAATGATGTATCCATTCAGCACGAGAGCAGGCCTATATATAAGTAGCCGACGTTTTTCTGCATCCCTCCACCACCCCGTCTCTGTCACGGTTATGTTCAGCTTGTCTTAGTTATCATGGACTTTTAGTTTGTTTTCATTCACATCATGTGTTCCTTTGTTGGATTTTCCCGCCACTCCTTTGTTTCTATAGTTACTGTTATTAGTTGATTCTGTTCAGGTGCATATCATTAATTATCTTGTTTGAAACACTAAGGGTACGTTTACATGACAACGATATGCTTAAAATGAAGACCTTTTCAGACGATTGGCAAAACGATCTCCATTCACACGGATTCGCGAAAAAACGACTAAAAACGCTGTAATCTGCTGCCAGGCCATTAGATGGCGATGAAACACTGTACGCATGTGTAATACCAACCCGATCTCACGACCAATTCGTCCGAATTTGACGAGTGATTAAAAGATGGCTAATTCGTAACAATTCGTACGACCTCACTCGTACGAATTAGTACGATTTTTGCTAAATCGTACATATTTGACGAGTTGCCCAATTCGTATGAATTCGTACGAATGACCTACCCCTGACCCCGCCCCTAAACCTACCCATCACGTGGGTTTAGACAAATCGTACAAATTCGTACGAGTGAGGTCGTACGAATTGTTACGAATTAGCCATCTTTTAATCACTCGTCAAATTCGGACAAATTGGTCGTGAGATAGCGTTGGTAATACGCATGTGCATGACGTCATCGTCTTCAGAGATTCGTGTTTTTATTGTTAACACGGAGACGGTGTCGTGTAAGTTCTTCCCTCACAGTCCTTCAGTGTTCGGTCTACATTACATGTAGTGTGTGCTGCCCTGCCCGTCTGATTATTATTTGTATTATCCTCATTAAACTTTAACATTAAACGTATTTGAACTTTATTCTTCATCTTCGTCTGCCATCCTGCAACCACCCGCTTCTTCTGGGCTGCGTTTAACTCCACTTTTCGACACACACTTACGAACTTCCTAAGCACTTCCCCTCTGGGAAATCTTTGCCGCCATTTTCAAGTGCGTTCAACTTCGTCAAATTAACGAGGGAAGGACATAAAAAATTCAAACACAGTCCTGGGCTGAGTCCGCAATCGCCCCCTTTACCCTCGAATAGGGCGTTATTTGAGGGGACAGCCATTTGTAGTGGTGTCCGAAACCATAGTGGACGTTATTGAGTGCACTTATTCAATCCCACAATGCACCGCAACAACGAGTGTACAACCGATGTACGCTCAATGGCTTTCCGAATTCGCTCACTCGTTTTCATTCACTCCTTCACAGTATTAGTGGACAAACATAGGGAATAGTGAATGAGGGTTAAGGGGGGCGATATCGGATTCAGCTCTGGTTTACTCACATTTTCTTCTTCTCTTGTTTTTGAATCCTGCATTTCTGTACTATTTCAGAAGATTCGTAACAGCAGTGAAAAAATGGATTGCCGGAATAACTTGTCAATGGCGGGGAAGTGTTTTATCATAAATGATGGAAAATCTCGTTAATTCTCGTGGGGAAAGAGTTACCTGAATATAAAATGCCAAAACAATCTTTTTGTCTGTTTCAGTTCATGTCGTTGTTATAAACTCACTGTGTTGTTTTGTTTGTGATTGTGCATCACAGGCACCTGCTGCATCATTTCCTTGTGCACATGTGTGGCTGGTATTAATTTCGAGCTCTCGCGGTACCCGCGCTACCTGTACGGGCTGCCGGAGGACATCAGTCATGGGTACGGCTGGTCCATGTTCAGCGCGTGGGGCGGGCTGGGTCTGACGCTGCTGGCTGGCTTTCTGTGCACACTAGCGCCCTCTCTGCACAGTCCCCAGACCACCACCACACACAAACCCCGACAGGAGAACGGCATGGTGTGACGCTCGCACACTCCCACCATACGCGCAGATACGTTAGCACTGACATGTCATTCTGATGCAGACAAGTGTCTTTACATATCAGAGAAAAATGGCAAATAAACAGTCACATACACAGCAGACATTGTGCAGACACACTGCAAGACTTCTGTAACAGGAAGGGGGAAATAAACAACGATCCAGAGTGCAGCTGAGTTAAACTTACTGGCGTTTGAAGGGAAAAAACTGCACTGCACTGCAAAAAAAAAAAAAAAAAAAAAAACTTAATCAGTATTATCGTCTTATTTTCCAGAAAAAAAGCTATACCTTACAATTGCTAAGATATCCCTTGTTAAAAAGAAGTGCACTTAATTGTGTTGAATGTGCACTTGTAGTGTACTTCAAATCTTAAAAGTATATTTTTACAATCTGTCCTTGCAGGCATAATAATATTAATAAAATAGAAGTGTACTAAAAAAGCACTTTCATGACTGACTGATCCTTTACACACTTAAGTACTTTTTTAAAAAGTGAACTTTGTGATAATGTCAAAAAAAAGTTTTACTTTAAAGTACATTTTAAATCATTGTGATAATATTTGGTCATGTTTCAAAGAAGTACACTTATTTTGATGTAGACTAACAAACAAAACACATGCAAAGTACATCATTATAATTTTAACTGTTGTGTGCGATTTGATGTTACATTTTAAGTTAATATAATAGAAATGTACTAAACTGTATTTAGTATATTTCAAATATATTTAAATACATGACATACAAGTTTCAATATAAATTACATCAAAATGTATTTTAATTTACTATAACTCGGTGCATTTGGCAGTGCACTTTAACCAACAGAATTATGAAATTAGATATAAAGATGTAGGCTACAGAAGAGGGCCAAACTAACTGCACTGAATATAAATTTAAACTATAATGCATTTTCATTTAATTATCAATAAGATGCAATTAAGTGTCCAAAAAGCATTACATTTAGTTCAAACTAAAGGATATTATTTTAAAGTATATTAATTAGTACCCCCAATTACAGTAATAGTTTGCTAAAGTGAACTTCTATTTCACAAGGGATAACCCTTTTTCCAACAAGCCCAGGTGTCAAGAACATTTATATTGTTTTTAAGGTTGTTTAGATGTTTTTACTGGAAAACTAAGCAAAAATACTGATTAGACTAAACACAGACAGACAGACAGACATCTTCTCTGGTACATAGCTGACATTTTACTGAAGATTTGCGTCTCAATGGTGCTCTCTTTCTGTCTTTATCTTTTGCCTGTAATTATGTTCATATCTTTTTTCTGTCTATCTCTCTCTGTCTTAATGATTGCGTCTTTTGCTTTTCCCATCTGTTTCTCTCCTCCTTTCCTCCTGTTTATGTCTCTCAATGGATTTAAAAGAGTGGCAATGTCTCAGAGAATGACAGATTAATATTTTCATTTAATAAACTGTTCAGTGTTTTTGGCTTTGCCTGCTATGTAGTAAAGAAAACAACAGATCAAGGCACAAATAATACATACTTTTGTCCTCAGTGTCTTCCTATAAATGCTTTTTTTTTTAAACTGAAAACTTCGAATAGCACAGGCAAAGTGAAATTTGGCGTCCATATGTGAAAATGAATCCTCTCTTTGTGCACAACCTCATTATCGAGGAGTCTTTTGAAAAGCAGTGTTAAGAGAAATTAGACTGGACATAGTTTGTTTTTAAAATTATGATATGATTTCATGAACATTTTTTTTTCTAATAAAATTATCCTGATTCATCATTCATTGGTTATTATATGATTCACTTTGTTGTTTTGAATTTATGAAACAATGTTCAGTCATAATGCCAGTGAGTTTTGAACATCATGTGGGTGGGAATTTTTATTCCTGTATATTTTCTGGCTGGGTACATAAAAACACAGTTAATGAGACCACATTCCCTCTGTGGTTGTAATGTTCTGCAGCCTTTGAACTTTTATTGACTGCTTGAAATGGCATTTCTACCAGAAAGACTCGGGAGAATAAATACTGTAACAATAAATACATTTATTGATAGCCCAGCAAGCAATAAAGTTATTTGGCGTAGGCCCCGTCCATAGCTCGCAATCCGAGGGTCCGGACTCTGCATTTCCTGCCTGAAGACGAAGGCAGGGGCGCCGCCGACCCCCTGTGAGGTATAGGAAGGGACCATCCTGGTGGTGGTGGGGAGGATGGAGGTGAATGAAAGCGTCAGCATCTGCGAACTCAAACATGTGTAAGTACTGGTCTTTTATACCGCAAGTATTAGACACGATTGGATAGATGAGAAGGTAATAAGTGACGTAGCAATTGAGTCTTCCTGGCAGAACTTAACGCTAAAGCTTGCATTTCATATTTCCATTAATGTTCTTAAACCAGGTGAAAATATTCAAAAGGGCTAAACATAAACATTTAATAAAGAGCAAGACACATTTAAGAATTCTAGGATAGTTTGAAAATGTACAATGTTAAAAGTAAAATTTACAATAATAATAAATAAATAAAAAACAGGTACAGTATAGTTGGCAAAACTTTATCAAACATTTCATGTTTACAGGTTGGCATTTTAGTGACTATTTACAGTTCTTATTTATTTCTTTTTACTTATTTACAGTTCTTATTTATTTCTTATTACTTACTTATTTCTGGATATACCACTAAATGATTGTTAAAGTCCCCTGTTGTGAAAATCAAGTTCCCTTTTGAAAGGGAACTCGAACTGCGTCAAAGCGCTAGGGGAAACCCCTCAGCGTGACTGATAACTGAAACACTGTATAATCACGGCAACCTTGTTGGCCGGCTTCAGCCATGACGTCATGCTCTAGCGCGACCAGGAAGTATAAAAGGGGCGTCTAGAGAACATGTCATCCTCTTTACTGCACTGTGAGTTAAACGAAACTATGGCTAACAAGTGCTTAAGGAAGTGTGCCGACCCGTGTGAGAGATTTCTTACACCTGGTGACACTCACAACCTTTGCGTGCTTTGTCTGGGTGAAGAGCTCGCGCGCTCTGTTCTCGAGGGGACAGAGTGCGTGGACTGTGAGCGTTTTTCAATAAGAACGCTCCGTTCTCGTCTGTCTTTTTTCTCGAGGGAAGAAAGACAGTCATCTTTGCCCCGCGGTTCGGGTCTAACTCGTGCTGAGGCCGAGAGGAGACTCAGATCGTGGGGATCTCAGAGGGAGCTCGCAGATGAGTTTGAGAGAGGAGTAAATCTCTCAAACTCGTCGGAGGGTGACGAGAACGTGCTGTTGGGCGGGGATGCGCTTTCTGGTCTAACAGCCAGTGCTCTATTGGCTTCGAGCCTGGATAAGCAGGATCGGGCTGAAGCAGGTGAATATACTGAAATGGCTGAACCTGCCCAGCCCCCCTGCCCCATGTATGCGGAGCTGGTGGAGGTGATGGAGTGCGCCACCACTAGGATTGAGTTGCCATGGCAGCGCGTCAGAGGGGAAGCCGCTCATGGAAGGCTTGACGAGCGCTTTCTCTCTGGCCACACCCCACCAGCCCCGGTGAGCCTTCCATTCCTTCCCGACCTCCACGCGGAGATTGTGAAGCCATGGAAGAACCCGTACTCCTTTCGCATTCACCGTTTCCAACATTCTAATTACTTGAATGTGGAGGGAATGCGAGAGCACGGGTATGTGTCGATGCCTCCCGTTGAGGAGACATTTGCGACCTATCTCTCGCAAGGGGAGACATCGCCACTAAGAACTCCAACCCTGTCATCTAGACCACTCCAGACCACATCTCATCTGAATAGCAGGACATACGCGGCGGCAAGTCAGGCTGGTGCTGCGCTGCACACGATGGCTGTGTTGCAGGCGTACCAGGCTGACCTGCTGAGGGACCTGGACCAGGGGCAAGGTCTAACCCCAGACGCGGTGGCTAGGTTGCACCGCACCACAGACCTGGCTCTCCGGGCCACCAAACAACAGTGATCGGACGATCGTTGGCAACCACGGTGGCCACGGAGAGGCATCTGTGGATAAACCTGACAGGCATCGGGGAGAAAGAGAAAACTTTTCTCCTCGATGCCCCGGTTTCGCCCTCTGAGCTTTTCGGGACCTCCGTTGAGACGGTGGTCGGAAAGTTCAGGGAGGCGAAGGCGTGCTCAGCGGCATATAGATCTTGTATACCGCGCCGACTGAGTGGCGACTGAGACGGTCCAGGAACCCCAGGCTGTCTGGGTGTGGGCCTGGACCGTCTCAGTCGCCACTTGTGCCCCTCCTCCTGGCAGGAGTAGGTCATTGAGGGGGCGCGAGTCCAGGAGGAAGAAGCAGGGTGTCAGGGAAGTAGCTCAGGCCAGAAGTGAGCGTCCTGGCACGAGCAGCGACAGGTAATTGCCTCCTTCCCTGTACACACCCTCCTTTTCCTCTTTCCTGGATAGGATGGGTTCCCCTTACGATGTGGTGAGTTTGTTACAGGGCCTTTGTCGCTTTTTGTTCACTAAGTTTCTGGCAGCCAGATCTGAAGTCGGCTAGTATTGCAGTGGTGATAAGCACAGGTAGCAGGTTCCCTCCCTGTGGGCTCGGAGGCGTGGTTAGGCTTCCTCTCACTCCAGAGAGGTATCTGCTGAGGCCTCCACTCTCTAGAGCTCAACAGAGTTTTTATATTCTTTATGGGGTTTCTTTTTCTAACATAGTGGTTTCTCTAAATAGAGAAACTAGTTTAAGACCACTTGGGTGTGTGTACGGCAGGCCTCCTCTTCTTAGAGTCTATTTTGTTAAGGCCCCTGCTCCCCATAGCCCTGTGAGGCAGTCTATGTCTCTAAGTTTGAGACAGTGGTAAAATCACCCCTCTTAGGATGACTTTGTACTCCCCTAGTTAGCAAGGGTGTTTTTGTTAAAGTTCTCCATCTCTCAGATAGCGCCGAGTAAGCCTAGTACTCCCCTGGTTTCTTGGGTCATTATGCAGAGTACTTCACCTCTAGTTGAGTTCTAGCAGGCCCTCACAAAGCTTGGGCCTCTATACTCCCAGTAGGCAGGTGTGTTAGGGTGACAGGCTCCCAGTGTTAGCCTCCCTTATGCAGCCAGGCCGCCCCAAATGCAGACTCCAGTACTCCCCTTAAGTTTAGGGTCGTCATGCTGAGTACGTCTCCAGCTGCCATATTTCTAAAATGCACATAAG